TCCGTGTATGTGTGTGTGTGTGTGTGTGTGGCTCCGTGTGTGTGTGTGTGTGGCTCTGTGTGTGTGTGTGGCTCCGTGTATGTGTGTGTGTGTGTGCGTGTCTCCGTGTGTGCGTGTGTGCGCGCGTGCGTGTATGTTCACACATTCGTGTGCTTTACCTGCTGACGCGGCACTCTGATACTTGTCTGCAACGGCGTTGTGGTGTGCGTGACAGGCTCAGACACTTCAGCTCCAGATCCAAGGATGGGCTCTCGCCGGTGAAGGACTTGGAGGAGCTCATGAAGTGCTCAACCATCCAAGATTTCGAGCGCGGCAAGCGACTTTTCTCGGAGCGGTACAAGGATGACCCAAAAGTGCTGGATTATTCAAGAAAACATTACTTTGAATGGGCGCACCTGTGGGCTGACTACTGCAGGCGCCCCCAAGATCCAACAACCAACAATTATATCGAGGTCAGTGGTCATACTCAGGCCCACGCTCACACACACACACACACACACACTCGCGCAGGGAGAAGACGCAGACACACACACACACACAGACGCAGACGCCGAGATGATATGCGCGCCCTTCTTCCTCACGCACACGCACCCAGAGATATGCACGCATTCACCTGAAGAACCACTCCCTTACGTGCTCTTCGCTGTCCGTTACCTCGTGGCACATGCCTGGTTGTTTAATCATTGTGCTCCGATGGGCGCAGTCCTTTCACCGCGTTCTCAAGGAACACCTTGACAGGAAATCGGGGCGTGCTGACTACCTGCTGCGCCGCTTGCTCTCATTCGCGGAGGAGCAAGACAGAAGGTTCTACACGCTCAAGTCAATGGAGTGGAACAAAGGCACAACGCTGCGCGTCATCGGCACTCAGCATCGCTAAGCAAGCGGGTCCAAGTGTTGATCGCACCAGTGACTTGTCGTTCACAGTGTCATTCCCTGACAAGGACCCAAAGGCTGTCACCATGAGAGCTGCGTTTACGTGCGAGTTCTGCTCCCGCGCTGACTGCATCCACGTCTATGAGTGCGTGTGTCCTGCGTACAAGGGCTCTCCCCCTGTATGTAAGCACACGGCTGCGGTTTTCATTCACACGACGGGCAGCACCGACCGAGCCACATCATTTCCCGTCGCTGCCCCAACGCCAGAACACAAACCAAGCCGGCACACAGGTGAAACAGGATATCATGCACGTGTACACGAGCGTACTCGTGCGCGTGCGCGCTGACACAGAGTGACTGAGTGACAGAGAGTGACAGAGGGTGACAGAGAGCGAGTGTGTGTGTGTGTATGTGCTAGTGAGTGAGTTGAGAGAGAAAGAGATGCGCACACGCTCGGGCAGACAGACACACACACGCACGCACACACACACATATCCACTCCTGCGTACTCACACGATCATCCGTGCATTGCTGGCCGAACAGGGCGAACCAAAGATCGCGTGAAACAGCTCATGCGCACCATGTCGCGGCAGCTGGACGAAATCACAGAATACCCCTCGGGGGATTGTCGTTGACCTTGAGGACATTTGCACTCTCATCGACCGCCTCACGGACAGGATCTCCATCATTGCCGACGGGCAGAAGCGATGTCGACAAGCGGGCATCAAGCAGGAACACCCCCGGAAAAGAGTGAAGACACTGGCCCCGTCGAGACTGCGGCTGTTCCCTGTGCGCGGCCGCAGGGGAGGCAAGAAGGCGGCAAGCACTCGGGAGGGCGCGAGGAAACCGCTGTTTCGTACGTGCACTCGCATGTATGTGCTCTGTGTATGCGTGATGCGGTCGTGCATGCGTGATGTACCGCGTGGATGACGTGCAAGACACACCAACCAACAATCTCATCGGCGACCGTACATTCTGCATACATACAGATGATGCGTGGCAACCGAAGTCGGAGTCAAATGACGCGGAGCCCGCAGGTACCCCCCCCCACACACACACACACGCACACGCACACACACACACACACACACACGCACACACGCACACACACACACACATGTCCTGACGTTGCTTCTTCCGCTTGTCACTCGCAACCTCAAGTGCAAGGTGCCCGGCGAACGGAGCCAGTTTTCGAGGAACAGCAGCTCCCACCTCGCGGCGAGGCTTTGAGGCAGCGAAATGATGGTGTGTAGCTTGCCCACTTTGCCACATGTACCTTGCCTACTTCTCCAGCGCGTTGTTCAGGTGGATCAACGAACACTCATCGTCCAACCTGTTGGGGTGTGTTTCTACGACCAGGTGCGCCACTCGCTGTCTCCCTTCTGCAGTCACTGATGGCACCCACGAGCAGCAAGCCCTCAAAACATCAAGCAGATGAGCAGGAACCAGAGAACAAACAACAACAACAACAGGTGCCTCAACAACAACAACAAGAGGTGCCTCAACAACAACAACAAGAGGCGCCTCAACAACAACAACAACAACAACAACAACAACAACAACAACAACAACAACAACAACAACAACAACAACAGGTGCCTCAACAACAACAACAACAACAACAACCACAGGTGCCTCAACAACAACAACAACAACAACAACAACAACAACAACAACAACAACCACAGGTGCCTCAACAACAACAACAGGTGCCACAACAACAACAACAACAACAACAACAACCACAGGTGCATCAACAACAACAACAACAACAACAACAACAACAGGTGCATCAACAACAACAACAACAACAACAACAACAACAACAACAACAACAACAACAACAACAACAACAACAACAACAACATCAACAACAACAACAACAACAACAACAACAACAACAAGAGCTACACAGCAACAACAACAACCACGACAACACCACAACAACACACACAACACAACAACAACAACAACAACAACAACAACAACAACAACAGCAGCAGCAGCAGCAGCAGCAGCAGCAGCAGCAGGTGCCACAACAACAACAACAACAACAACAACAACAACAACAACAACAACAACCACAGGTGCCTCAACAACAACAACAACAACAACAACAACAACTG